TTTCTACCCAGTGATATCATACCGACGAGTTCAAAAAGAAAGCGACAAATTGTTGTATACGGTTCGGTCACTCGTTATGGTTCGCAGTAGTTAGCCTCTCGCGCTGAAATGACGTTCTACGTGCGTCGAGAATTTTTTGTCCCAAAATTGCAATATTTTCTGAGTCTTAAGTATATTTAAGTAAAACAAAATAGGCAAAACAAATAATAAATTATTTACTTGTCAATAATTTCTATCCAGTGATATCATACCGACGAGTTTAAAAAGAAAGCGATGAATTGTTGTATGATGGTTTGGTCACTCGTTACGGTCCGTAATATCAGTTTCCCAGCGCAAGTGGTAATCAGCGTTGTCTCTAGATTGTAGTTGATAATTATTCCGCTTAATTCCTAATGTTGGTTTAGACGATCCTAGAGTAAAAAATCTGTCAAGAAGTCAAAAAACTGTCGAGTGTCAATAAATATACAGTCCACTCGTGAAATTTTCTAATTCGAAGCTTGGTCTTGTTTAATTGATAATAGCTCCACTTAATTCCAAGGTTTTCTAATTTTAGTTTAGACGACTCTAGAGTATCAGAGAACTGTCGAAAGTCAACAAATATACAGTCCACTCGTGAAATTTTCTAATTCGAAGCTTAAGTCTCGTCGATTAATTCCAAGGTTTTCTAATTTTAGTTTACACGATACCTAGAGTATTAAAAAATAATACTCTGTCGAATATATACAGTTCACGCGAAATTTCCCAATTCGAAACATAATCTTGTCTTGTTTCCGAGAAGCTGCAACATCGCCGCGTAAATCGCACTCGTGCGATCATTATCGATCATTATAAGTGATTCAGAATCGCCAAACTAATCAATACTGACGATTAGACTCTAATCGACGTACAAATATATTACGTTTCGCTGCTGAAACGAGGATATTTCAGCCGCCAAATTGGCCAATTGCGAAACAAAACGAAAAACAAGAAACTTGATTAAAGCGGTCACATCCTTTTCTTTGTAAACATTAAACTCAATTCAACGTTGCTACAATGCATTATCACAAGCGTGTATCTAAACGTATCAACATGTTATATCCATGCAGCATTACAAGTATATCCAACGACCGTCTATCTTAAGAACGATGATCTATCTGCGGATGATTTGCTTCCGAGACCAGCTTTTCAATTCTAATCAAAACTTGCCTTGATTTCACGCCACGTAGCGAGTTACTTTTCTCCTTTCGAAAACGTGAAAAAATTCTTTGGCCAGAACCAAGGTTTCATTTGAAATTTATTTATTTCACACGTGTTTGTTCCTTTCGAATCAACGAAAAGAGAATTCGATCTGTCACCTAGCGATCACCAAAAGATCACTTCGTTCTTTCTTCAAATCAGAAGAGAAAAGATTCCAAGATCGAAGTCGAATCGTTGGTTCAGTCTGCGAACGGCCGGCGCAATTAATAATTACCTCGCTAGAGTATAAGTCGACGCGTGACTGATACTCCGTTCAAGATCGAGCGAACGACGATCGAACGCAGGGAAATGTTTCTCGCCGCGAACACACGTGAAACCGAGCATACACGCGTAGTTGGTCGTGCGTCATCGACGCGCGATTTCTTTGGTGCACGACGAAAAGGTCACTCCCGAGAGCAGCATGTGTGTAAAGACGCGGCCGGCTCGCGTTTTCTGCTCGGATTCGTTCGTCCGCGTGTGCCACATGTATGTACATAAGTGGCGGTGTGTGAAGAGCGGCGCGGAGCTCGTTCCACGGCTAAACTGCAGCTGCACTTAAGCTCCGGCTCTCCCTGTCCTGCACTTCCGCATTGTCCGCCATTCTTTCCGCCGCTTTTCTTCTTTCCTTCCCTTTTTTTTTCTTTTCTTTTTCTCCTCCGCCGCGATACTCTCGATTTCTCGCCCTCGCGAGATTCCATTGTTCCCCCCGATTTCTTCAATGAATTTTCAAGCACGCACTTTGTTTTTTTCGTTTTTGAGAAAAATAACGTGATACAGACGACCGTGGCTGGATTCCTACGTATATTAGACACACACAAGCTGGTTTAAGCGAGTTTTCGAATTGCGATATAGTGCAGACAATATTTTCT